AAGTAATATATTATTTGTAAGAAAAAAATATAGAAATTCTTGTAAAAATATTTAAATATCCTAAATGAATTACCATGCATGCATGTCAATTTATTAATGATATTTATATTTTTTTTCATAAATATTCTTGCACTGTTCTTTGTTTTATAGGTCAATTTGAAAATTCACATTTTTTTGAACAATAAAAAATAATTTTATTTATTTAATCTTCTACTCATATATATCCCTAAAGTTTTTTTTTTCCTTTTTCAGTAGAGGGTTAGTTATTTAGCAATACAAAATTTTAAAATTTTAATTTTAATTTTAATTTTAAATTAATATTTTTGAATTAATAAGTATTAACTCACCCAAATTATTTTGAATCTTTCAATTGATATGACTAAGCAGAATCAAATCCTAACTATCAGAATATACTATAGTAATTCATAACTCGAGTCCATGAAATTAAAGATAAACATTGTCCGTGCAAAGTAGCGTGCGAGGTAGCGCGGATGCCAGCAGTTAGAGCAGGTAGATTAATATCTATCTCTAATTACATTATTTTATATATAACCACTAGCTTAATTTAATGTTGGAATTTGAGAGTGAACTCCATCTATACGTCTAATTATCTCAACGTTGGTTCGCAAGAACTCACCGCAACCTTGTTTTGAAAATGATTGTCCCGACCGATAACCACCCGTTATTTAGTAAAGTCAACCCACATGCATGTGAATACAATGCTAATAGAATTATCCATGAGAGCTATAAATACCACAGGGATATCCAAAAGAGTCCTCATTCCACAAACTCTCAAATTCAAAGCATTTGTACGTTGCCAACACCCAACCATAGCAATGGGAAAGATCTTTGAGAAGACTTTCGAGCAAACTGACATTAGAAAATTGAAGCTTCCCAGTGGTACAAATTTTAATAATTCTTCTACCATCGAGGTTAGAGATCAAGAGGAGAATACATGGAGTTTTACGTGCATCAAATCGGCCGGTCAGTCATATCTCGGTGGTAAAGGTTGGGAGAGTTTTGCGGAAGGCATTGAACCTGGCAACACGATCGAAGTTTACGAAGAAGCTGATCCTTACGAACCTCGAGCTCCGCCCTACAAAATCGTAGTTCGATAATTGAGAAATTAAGTGCTTGCCCATATTTTAATACGTCCTTTTATGTGTTCCCTAGTTAAGCATCCTTCTTAGAATAAGAAATGTTTTATTACAGTTTGCTCTACATTTAAGAATATTAACATGGAATTGGGAAAACACAAAAATATTAACATTCTTAATTAATATTTTTAAGTGTTGTCATTATCATTTTAGTATATTAATTGTAAGATACTACCCATTAGCAGTTAGGTTTGTGATAACCGCCTTAGTTATCCTTTCTGTAATTGCTTGTGTGTTCGGTTTTTCCGCGTAGGGATGCTGGTTTTGTGTTGTAAGCTGTCTAGAATACTGTTGTTTCTCTAGAATATTATCCAGATTACCACAGTCTTGTGTTGTGTATGATTATGCTATCAATATAAAATATTAATAAAAGTTTTAACTCTTCTATATATTACGAACATAGTTTCAAATTTTTTATTAAAAAATTAATTACTCAGCATACTATATTTTAGTACGAGGTTTAGAAAGAATACTTGCATCACGAGTGTCATCGAAGAGAGCAATAACCGCGCAAATGGAAGACTCGCTAACATTAAAAATCATGTACCGATTAAAAATGAAAAAAAAAATAATAACTATCAAGTAAATTTGGTTTGTCGGCTCTTATATATCCCACTCTTTTAGTAACATGTTCAGCGAACACCAAAATTATCGGACGGCATGGAACTTTCTAAATTCATATGTACTTTATTTTTGTTTGGTTCAGTCGAACTTAATTTCTATCTTAATTATCATTCACAAACAACCGCACATGAATTGCTTATTGTGGATAAGGAATGCACCAAATCCTTGCCCCTTGGCCTTGAGCTAGCGAAATTACCAGGACAAAAAGAAAA